CACAAAAGGAAGATTAATCATTGAATGTCGAGTATTTGAATAGCGTTTTGTGTAAACTAATTCATGCGTGATCGGCCAAGTGCGTGTGTGTGTGTATGTATGTATGTATATATATATATATATATATGTATTCCGGAATTTTCAGAAAAGTCCACTTTCATCTCTGCCATTTGGACTACAAATACGTGAAGCATGTTTATCGATGCATGGACAAATGCACAAGTGTGGCATGCATATCATCGATGTCCTGAAATGGTTTATGAGTGGAACAAAAAAAAAAGCATCTGCAGCTCGAGTGCAAGTCTACAGTGGTTGGCGTCTGCACAATTTGGAAACTATAGAAGATTGAAAAGGTGGGTGACTTAACTACATTAGCTAAGTTAATGCTCAATTTGGATTTTTCGGTGAAATCCAAATTTTTTTTCTGTGCAAGTGTTCATATTACATGTTAATGCGACCTCAGTCTGTCTGGTGTGTGAACCAAATGTGACCCAAAAGTGACCTGCCTGTGCAGAAGAAGAGACATCATTCACAACATAGTGTTTATGGAAGTAAATGTGATCCAGTGTGTTCGGCCTCACCTTTTTATCACATCATACCTACAGAGGAGCAATGTATCAATTTTGGGGGGAGACAAGGCAAGGCTTTTTTTTCGATCTCTGGAGACATCTACTTAAAATGAGATCACATCATTGCCGTGCATAAAAAGCAAAAAAAAAGCCTGTGTGGCTGAATTATTACCATCACCATACATGTCCACTTCATGTTGCAGGTTTCAAGTGGGATTAAAGTAAAATATAAAGTCAACATTGTTACTCATAACAACTTTGCAGATGCACAGAAAACTGAGATTTTCCCCCCGAAGCACTGTTTCCCACCCGCACGGAGCCCATTTGTTGTTTATATGTGTTTATATGTGACCTGGGTGTACAGACTAAGGTCGCATTGTAAAATAATCTAATATGTATCTGACCTAGGACCACAAATGAAAGTGACCCAGGTTAGATTTTAAACAAATCGGAATTGAGCCATTCAGACTACCATAAAGAAAATCAGATACAGGTCAAATATGGGCAATAAATCCCATCTGAATTGCATCTGCCTGCAGTGTGAACCGAGCCATTGTCTAATAGAATGCCTGTGTTGGTGGGAGCATTAAATCGTATGCACTCGCACCAACGCGACCAGATGACATTCTTACTCGCATACGGCAAAAAAAAAAAAAAAAGTGGGGGGCTACCATAAAGAAAATCAGATACAGGTCAAATATGGGCAATAAATCCCATCTGAATTGCATCTGCCTGCAGTGTGAACCGAGCCATTGTCTAATAGAATGCCTGTGTTGGTGGGAGCATTAAATCGTATGCACTCGCACCAACGCGACCAGATGACATTCTTACTCGCATACGGCAAAAAAAAAAAAAAAAAGTGTGTGTGTAAGGGAGGGGGGGGGGATGCTTTTATATTTGAAAGTTACCTTTTGTCTCTGCATCATATTGAGCAGATCTCCAAAAGGTGACTCCTCTGGATTATCGAACGCCAGCAGGGCAAGCGTCCTCTCCATCTCAGTCAGACATTCTCGACTCTCCTCCCCCTGCTCTGCTAACTGGGACTGGGCAAATTCGAGGGCAGCTTCCGTCTCCCTCAAGCGAATGAGCTCAATAAGATGCTGCTGCTGCAAACAACAAATTAAAAATATACAAACATGAGTCAAAACAACAATTATGAAGATGTCTGCGGAATGACACAAATATTCTTTATGGAATTTTGAAAACAGATGCATCTGAGGCTTAGGGAAGATGTCAACAACACACCACAATACTTAAACAACACAGAAAGAAAAAAAGCGGTGGAAGTATAAATAAAGAAGAAACTGAGTTGTTGTAAAAGGCTGTCGACTCAAAGGCACTTCTTAGATGTCACACTGCAATGTGTAAAATTATCTCAGTTGATAAAACTGACTCATCCTCTAAATTGCCCATAAACTGGATGCAAATGTGAATGGTGTTTTTTCTATTTGTGCCCTGGAATTTGCTGGCAGCCAGTCCAACATATACAACTCCCTCTTGGCCAAGTTCTACTGGTCTTCACCCCAATGAAGACAAGTGGTAGAGATTAAAAAAAAAAAAAAATGGATGAAATTACCTGCAAGTGAAAGTAAAGGTAGCGATTAGTATCCAGCAGTTCCGGATGCAGACTGTTGATCAGCGCAATGGCATCCTGGATCTGCCCCTTCAGAATCATTTCTCTGATCTTTATTCTCTCGTCAAGGGATTCCAAGTCCACACTTGGCTCAATCCCAGACTCCATTCTGAACTTCTCCGCCGCCTCCTTGAATCCCTCTGTTGCCCAAAAAAAAACAAACAAACAAAAAAACAGATGCCATGTTCTCTGCTTTTGTTTTGCGCTCTAGGTTCATGAAAATTCATTTTGAGTACCGCACCTGTCACCAAATAGTTCATAATAAGTCTGTTCATATCAGCTCGCTGAATGTGGACATTGTTGAGTTTATCCATCCATTCGTCCCTCGTGATGTCGTCTGGTTTCTCTGCATAACTCATGATGATAAAGCCTTAAATACAGGGAATACAAGTGGTCTGAGGTAACAGTCTGAAGCAAAACGTTATTATTTAAACGATAACCTCGTCGTTTAACAGTAACAGCACCGGAAATGTACAATCAGGCCTATGATAAAAACACAACAATGAAGCCTGACTCCAGCATAGCACCAAGTACAAACTAAATTAACACAACCAACGCTTCGTCGGCTCAAAACAAATGAGAACCCTTTGGAACGGGTGTCCACCCATAGCCCAGACCAACAATTATTTCGTTCCCAGATAAAAAAGGTATTGACAATACCTTCAAACGAGTCGCTTCTGTTCAGCATTAGCAACTCGCCACTAGGGTTCAGCGACGGAAGCTTCTTCTTCTTCTGCCTCTGCCCAAGCTGTTTATTAGGTGCACCAGGGACAGCACATCACTGCGCCCCCTAGCTTTGACTTTCAGTTACTGCGACAGGACGAAACCAATCTGAACAAAAGTAAAGTACCCCACATTCTGGATTTAAAGTAGAAGTAGATATTTGCATTCAAAAGGACGCTGGTAAAATCATAAGCACTAATTGGACTCCTCTACTTAAGTAATAGGAAGTACTCTGAAATGTATTTAAGTGCAAATTAAAAAAGTGGAAACTAATTTTTACTGTCAACATACAACACATGTTTTGATCATTTGATTGGCACAGTGGCGGCCTGAGTTTGAATGGCCCGTGCTAACCCCCTAACCCGTCCCCAGTCTCCACCACCAATACCCACCAGGATAAGCAACACTGCACTGAATGAGGCGGCAGTATAACAAGACAGTACCAAACTTTGGACGTGGAGGACATGGATAAGAGTCCCGCTACACGCAAAAATGTGGATGATGATGCTTGGGTTCTCCTGGGATTGGCAGTGTGTCAATGAGCAAATTGTGCATTCTTCCAGAAAACTGAGGGGTGCACTTTCTCTCTTGAATGACAAACTAAGAAATAACATGCAGTAATTTTGCACCTAATAGAATGACAAGAGAAATCTATGCAGGTACTTGGTACATCCCGTTAATCCATTTGTAATGGATGTTGGCGGTGACAGAGTCATTTTTTTTATGACAACACCAGTCAATAAATGTTTATCCATCAACCCATCCATTTTCTGATCTGCTTTATCCTCACATGGGTCGCTGGGCGTGCTGGAGCCTATTCCAGCTGTTTTCGGCCAGTAGGTGGAGGACATCCTGAACCGGTTGCCAGCCAATCGCAGGGCAACAAATGTTTACAAAAAGTTTTTAATCAGTGATGCAAGTAAACTTTTCGAGGTGAATATTTTGGATTGATTATTAATCTGCCCTCATTCCTTAGGTGCGAGTGTGAGCACAAATGGTCGTTCGTCTGTGTGCCCTGTGAATGGCTGGCAACCGGTTCAGGGTGTCCCCCACCTACTGCCCATAGACAGCTGGGATGGACTCCAGCATGCCCGCGATCCTCGTGAGGATAAGCTGATTAGAAAATGGACGGATGGATAACAATAATAAACATAATGGGCGGCACGGTGATCACCTGGTTAGCCCGTCCACCTCACAGTGCAGAGGTGAGGGGTTCGATTCATTATTCCAGCCTTCCTGTGTGGAGTTTGCATGCCCCCCCCCCCCCGTTCTCCAAGTACTCCGATTTCCTCCCACATTCGAAAGACATGCATTCGAAATTGTCTTTAGGTGTGATTGTGACTGTGAAAGATTGTTTGTCTTTTTGTGCCCTGCGATTGGCTGGCAACCAGTTCAGGGTGTACCCCACCAACTGCCCAAAGACGGCTGGGATAGGCTCCAGCACGCCTGCTACCACTGTGAGGATAAGCAGATTTGAAAATGGATTAATAATCATAAGAATAATAATATTAACTATTGCTGTTCTTGCAATAATCTAATAAGTAATATAGCAATTACGATTTAGGGATTAGGTTTGGCAATAGTTGGGGTTTTTTTCTGAAACGTCATCGCTATAAATTACATTGAATGGAAAAAACCGTATTGCGCACGGTTTTATAGGTCAAACTTAAAAACAATTAAGGGAAACAAAAGCCTAATGTGCTTAGTGGTTATTTACTTTTTTCCATATTTGTGACAGTGGTTATTAACCACTGTCACAAATATGTTGAGGTACACATGTAGGAATTTCTGACAAAAAATTTATGTTGAGTGTAATTAATTGATATATTTGTTGTGTCATTATATGTTTGGTTTTATTGGACGTTTTCCTACGAATCCCCTGTTAATTAATTGTGAGTAAAATATGAGTTGAGGAAAAGTCCACAGGGAAGAGGGAAAAAAAAAAAAAAAGGTCGACATGCCCCGCCTTTTTCCTGAGAAGCCTCTCGGTGGTGCTGTGTCTATGGCAACGGAGCGCCGAAACATGCTGCACAAAGTCAATGGGGAAACAATCAGTAGGATTCTACTGTAAAATAGCGAAGCGCTGCAAAGTCTGTGTGAACGAAAAGGCACTTTATATACAAAGGTAAGTAGCCTTCGAGAAAAAAAAATATTTATGGAAGATCACGTGTTCAATTGTGGGGGGGGGGGATGCCTCTGTAATTGTGCTTCTCTTATTGAATAACAATAATAGTAAAAACTTGTTGCTAACAATAATACTTTGTTGCTAGAAATGTCGGCGAAGCAGAGACACACAAATCACAATCAACTCCTGGAACAGCGGTGGAAGAAAGTGCAACAACAGCGACTCCATTTACCAATGTATGTTTGTACTACAGTTATTCTTGGGAAAAGTACTCATTCTGATCTTCAGTAGAAATACTAGATTCGAAAGGTACGCGATATTTTAAAATATCTTGTAAAAGTAGCAGCAATGCAAAAATAATAATAATAATAATAATAATAACAACAACAAAAAACAAACAAACAAACAAACAGAGCTTAATCACTGCAGTTGCTTTCTGGGCACCAAGAAGTCGACCTCACTGTGCAGAGGTACCGGGTTCGATTCCAGCTCCAGTCTTCCTGTGTGGAGTTTGCATGTTCTTCCCGTGCCTGTGTGGGTTCTCTCCAAGTACTCTGGTTTCCTCCCGCATTCCCAAAACATGCACGGCAGGCTGATTAAACACTCTAAATTGTCCCTAGGTGTGAGTTTGAGCGCGAATGCTTGTTCGTCTGTGTGTGCCCTGCAATTGTCTGGCAACCGGTTCAAGGTGTCACCTGCCTAGTGCCTCAAGACTGCTGGGATAGGCTCCAGCACGCCCCGTGACCCTTGAGTGGTGGTATTTTGGTTGGCTCAAGGCACAACAGATTTTATACAAGTAATTCTTGGCATAGACAACATCATATAATTCTGTAAATAAGGCCATTCATGGACAATGTAGTACATATCGCTATTCCAGCTTTGCCTTTTTTTTTTACAATGTGTCATTGTCCTGCAGAAGTGTAAAATAGTCACAAATGAGATTTGACAAAGTAATGAGTAGAAAGTACAAATATCTGTTTTCAAATGTAAGGAGCAGAAATTTTATTTATAAGTCAGCAAACTCAATCCTCAAGTAAAGTACAGGCACCTAAAATACTATGTACCATCACAAAGTATTTGTATTTCATTACTTCCTGTCATTGTTGATCTACAATGTACAAAATACAAAGAGTCATTGTGCTGCACATAGACTGTCAATCATTTTTCAGGCCAATTGGCTTCCTACAAAGTGGCAGCTCCATGGCTGTGTCCCAAGCAGTGGAGGCTTACAAGCTGAACAAAGAGAGGGGGAGAATTGTGCGCAGCCCATCACCAAAGCCTCAATTCCCTTCCAGTGTAAGATATATCTCCCGACACCATTCTTACAAACCAATGTTTGCGCTTCTGTCACAAATCATACATTAAAAAAAGTGGTATATTTCAACCTTTGCATTACAGATGCAAAGTGAAGATCGGAAGCACAGAGTAAGTTTCGTTTTTGAAGCCGAATTCCACCTGCTGATCATTTGTGTGTTCATTGGATAAATTGAGCCACCTATTTCCGTGTATGCAGATGAACTACATATTCTTGAGGCAGTGCATAGAAAGCCGTCCGGTCATTCCAATCCCGCAGGAGTGGTTGGACTCCATCGACGGTCAAATCCCTCCTCAACTCAAAGACAGCCCTCAGAAAAACAAACTCCTGTATCAGCTCCTCACGGAAGTCAGTGACAACTTCCATGATGTTATCATCAAATACACAGGTATGTATACAGGATGTACATGTGTTTGTGTGTTTTGTCCACCTAAATCTAAAAAGCGTATGTCTAAAAACACTACACATTCTGTGCATTTGTTTAAGTGGACTCATTCCTGAAAGATCCAGAATGTGAAGAACCTGCTCCAGAAAAGCAGACGTCTCTTCCACTTGAGTGAGTGTTTCCTGGCCACATATGAGTTGTACGCATTGAAGATAAAACTATGAATTGAGTTTCTTTGGCACTTTTGGAATATGATTTTATTTTGCAGTATTCTTGAATTTTCCCAAACACGACGCGAGAACTTTGTCACAAGCCGGAAGCTGATGAGGGCAAATTTGCACATTCTACATCCCATAATGCAAACTGTTTTGGAAATTGGACACACAACATTTTCTTCAATGTCCTTGGTGGATCTGACAGGATACAGGTATGTCAATGCAGAGAACGTCAATAAAGCAGGTACCCAAGCTGTTGAACAAAGTTGTACATGATTTTTGTTCAGGGCTTTGGGACCCGTTGATGGCAAAGTGTTGCATAAAGACCTGGCTGTAGAATGCGAGACAGCAGAAGAACAAATCATGAATACCTGGTTCCCTAAAGTCATCAATTTATTAACAAGTCCAAAAACACTGGGTTCAGTTAAAGACAATGTCATGGATGCCTTCTTTGACTGCGCGTGCACCCTCATCTCGAATCAGGTGGAGTTCTGCCAGCAGACATAATCCGACATGTCTTTTTTTCAGTTTGTTTTCTTGTGGCTTTGGTTTTCCCCAGATTGGTTTATTTACTTCATTAACACGGTCTGCACGCTTTCTCCAAATGTCTGTCCGATTTGTCCTTTCCAAATTCCCAGCTGAAAGCCCTGATTCAGAGGAGTGTGGAGGGGTTTGTCTACCCATTTCATCCGGACAACTACCACGTCTTACCCATCTTTCACATGTCCCTGACATTTAATGATGAACAGATGGGAATATACCCCACCTTGCAGGAACTTGAAGCAGATGTTTTTGAAATTCTGAATGCAATTACAAATACACTGCAGGTAGGCTCTCTCGCGTGTCATAAATCGTTTTGTGCCTATTCCCCCGCCCCAATTTGCATATTTTAAGCAGGTATGTCCAGCTCTTATCCTCATGAGCTACTGTCCTACATCTTTTAGATGTCTCCATCCTCCAACACACCTAATTCAAATGATCAGATCACCAGCAAATCCTGAAGACGCCTGCTAATGATCTTCATCATTTGAATAAGTTGTGTTTGAGAAGGAGGAGATCTAAAACATTCAGTGCTGTCCTGCATGCTGTCCAGGACCAGGTTTGAACACCCCATTATTAACGTCTATTTAAAGATGGTTGTGATCCACAGAAAGTGCAGACGGTTCAGTCGTGGCTGGCAGACTCTACATCTGCATTTGTGGATGCCAAGGCCCCTGATCACACGCTTGCTTGGGCTCATTGTACTCTCACTACAACTCTGCGCAAGAACCTAGAAGAACCTGACCGATACTTTCAGAATTATGGTGATGGAAACATTGGGCCCTGTTTTTGTGGCCAGAGCAAATCTAGCGCAAAACATGGTCTAACTGCGCAAGGGTGGAGTTTTCTTTCATTTGGTATTTTCATTGAGGTGCGCAGTTGCAAACAGGCGATTACATCATTGTGGCAGTGAACAAAGCTGACTTGCTTCCTGGCCAATAGAGGCAGCTCCTCTCATTCCCTTCAAATTCAGCGCAAGAGAGGCGCATGGTCTATGTGGCAGAAGTATAAATGGAGTCTCTGGAGTCCATGCAGATCGATGCGCCCAAAGCACGTTTTAAACTACAGTAACTGCAAGATCTTCATTTATTAAGTTGGCCACTGTCAAGCGGGCACTTGGAGAGAGCCTTCCACCCCTGATTGGCCGGGGTGCTTTTAAAACTATATTGATGATGATTTTAATAATAATAATAATCGTCATCATCATCATGTGTTCAAATAATTGATTCTATGATGATTTTTGAGGGTTCGATGAACACTGTTTTTATATTTATGAATGAAATGCGATAACATTCGCCACACATTCGCAGCGCTCACAATCTGTATGCCTGCAATTCGACTTGAACCTGCTTTTAGTCGGTGTAAAGATTACAATGCTTACTGCCACCAAATTGTCAGGTGTGCCTGGGAAGTGTGAAAGAAAACGCCCTCAGACATTGCACAGTCTGAAAAATTCCCAAACGTGCTAAAGGAAGTTTGCAGCTGCACGAAAATCATGATGCGACAGTTTTTATGCCCAAGCGGATGTGTGCGGTCTACAAAAATAGAGCCCATAATCTCAAATCACTTCATCATTTGTACAAATATTTTAGAGTGTGTTTTTCTAACATATAATTATTTTATAGTTGACAACTATGACTGGCTGCTCAATGGTGCTGCTCAGGCTCAAGTTGAGACCTTTTTGGAAGAAACCCACTCATTTGTTGAGTATGTTCAGGTGAGAATCACAACTTGAGAAGAGTAGTGGGCCCCTCCTTCCTGATGAATGTTGGTGTGTGTGATCTGACTGTGCTTTCCAGCAAGTAGAGGAGTTCCGTGAGTTGTCAAGAAAGCTTGGCAACTTCCCAACCAAAGTTCACTTTCCAATGGTCCAATTGCATTGTGAGGGTCTGAACCAGGGACTGGCTAAAAAAGCTCAAGATTATGCTGAAATACTCATCAGGAAAATGAAAACTAAACACACACAGCTAGTTCTTCAGTGAGTCTCTCATTCTAAGTGGAACACGTCCGTCCTTGGTGAACAAGGCTCCTTTACTGCAGCAGATTGTTTTGTTTCTTTTGAAAGGATTTGCTCAGATTTTGAAACCATCCGAAGAAATGCTTTGAAAGTGCCAGAGACTACAGATGACATGGCCCAGATTATTGACTACATTGAAACAACTAAGACACAGAGTATTGCACTTCTTCATGAAAAGATAAAGGTACAATTCACAGTTTGGTCGCTGATTTAACAATTCCCTAAAGCTTCTTGATTCATTTATTTGGATCAAGGGTATGGAACTTTGGTTCCATACCGCATAACTCTTTGGAGAGCCGTATCCAGCCTGTTTTAGATGTCTACATACTCAAACACAACTGATTCAAAGGATCAACTCATCAGCAAGCTCTGGAGAAGTCTGAAACAATCCTGATCATGTGAATGATGTGTGTGGAGTAGGGAAACATCTAAAACAGGCAGCATATGGCTCTCGAGGAACCAGAATTTCCCACGCCAGATTGAGTTCATTGAATGTTGTGGCTTTTATCATCTGGCAGAAAGCCCAGAGCAGACTGAGCTACCTCCTCGATGTCCACATATTTGAACCTGAAGATCTTGAACTCAATTCAACTGTCTTCATGTGGCCATTGAAAATCCAAGAGGTGTTTAAACTCAGCGATGAGGTAACGCCCTTCTTTGATCCAACATGTGCATTGTATTGGTGGTCTTTTCAATTATGATGATATCATGTCTCCTGGATATTTGTTTTCAGGCTTTGCGGGAGGCCAGGATGAAAGGGGAGAAGGAGATGTTTGCAAAAAGAGAGAGGGTCACGATTCATCTGGCAAAATTGGAACGAAGGGTTGATGAGTTCCCTCACTGCTCTGAACTTGATATGATGCAGCAGGTATTGTGAATCATTTGTGATTCCATCGTTTTGAGCTTGGTTTGGCAAGGGAGCTGACCCCGAAATATTTAAACTGTTATTTAAAGGGCCTGCATCATTCATCTCTTCATTAGTGAAAATAGAACTTCATCTAAAGTGTATTTATATATTGCAATCCCCCCAGCAGAGCAGTTCAAGAAAAAAAATGTTTACCTACTGATTTGGTAAGGTCAGGTTATTTGCAGGATTTGGCATTTTCTCAACTATATTTAAACAATATTTGATTTTTACAGTACTTAACAGAAGTCAGAACTGTTCAGAAGCTTCTTCAGGAGGCTGAGGAAACAATCAGTGACATCCACAAAGACGAAGTTTTTCATCAGTGGGAACAAACATCTTACCCTGAAGTGGAAGTCATCAGAGACAGCGTTGAACAGTACCAGAAGTTGTTTGGACTGCTACTAAAGTGGCAACGCACAAAGAGCAGGTCTGATTTCAGTTGCGGATTACATTTGGTGATTTGTTTAGATATTGAATCTAATATTTTCTCTGGGAATAGATGGATGGATGGTTCTTTTGCAGATCTAGATGGTGAGGGCATGGAGGTAAAATTGGATGAATTCTTCAGGGAGATCTTCAAGATGTTGAAGCACTTCCAGCAGAAAAAGAGCAACAACAAACAGGATACAAAAAAAACAACTGGATTGTCCAGACAACGGCGCAGTGTAGAAGATACAAACAAGAATCAGAGTCCTTCAATTTTATGCTCCACTACATTAGAGGAAGTCAAAGAGTTCAAGGTATCCAATGAGACTTGTGTTAAAAGTGTTTCACGGCCATGCATTCTAACTCAATTATTCTTATATTGGAGGAGCACATCCCTTTAGTGTCAGTCCTGTGTAATCCGGGCATCAGAGATCGCCACTGGAAGCAGATGTCACAGATCGTTGGGTATGATCTCACCCCTGATGCTGGTACAACACTTCGTAAATTTCTCAAACAAAACTTGACTCCTTATCTGGAAAAGTTTGAATCAATCAGTGCTGCTGCGAGTAAAGTAAGGATTCCCGAGTTTAATTTTTTCTTTTTTTTTTCCACCTTGTTCT